AGCCTCATGCTCTGCCAGGGAAGAGGGGAAGTCGGGAGGAAGCAGAGAAAGGACACCTGACACAAACTAGCCAAAGAGGCATTCCATACCACAGCATGACATGCCCAGTATATAAACTGGGGGCAGTTACCCAGAAGTGCTAACTAAGGACTGTGGGGTCGGACGGGGTATCAGTCGGTGCTCGGTCGGGTGGGGTGGGGGGAGTTATCGGTTGGCTGGTGGTGAGGTGTTGTATTCTCTTCCCTTGTTATTTCCTTTATCATTATTATTATTGGTGGTAGCAGTAGTGGTTTGTGTTATACCTTAGTAACTAAACTGGTCTTATCTCAACCTGGGGGAGTTGCATTCTTTTCAGTTCTCCTCTCCGTCCCTCCGGGAGTAGGGGGAGAGAAAGAAAGGGGGGAGTAAGTGAATGAGCTGCCTGACTGGTTTTAAACCACGTCAGCCAGTTTGTGCCCAGGCAGCCAAGAAGACCAATGGCATCCTGGCCTCTATCAGAAATAACAGCCAGCTGGACCAGGGCAGTGATCATCCCCCTGTACTCGGCACTGGTGAGGCTGCACCTTGAATCTCTACAACTACCTGAAAGGAGGTTTTAGTGAGGTGGGGCTGTGAAATAAACAGTCTTGTTTTCACATATTGGGGCTGGGGCTATGTTGCTAAAGAAACTAAATAAGGGGTTTAAGATACCATAACTTAGGAAGACACACTCTGTGGTTAAAGACAATATCATCTCTGGACGAAAGATACACTCTGTGGTTGAAAAGAACACTATCTTTGTACAACCTATGAAACTAAGCAGGTGCAGGGTGGTTAAACAGTATGTTGGGGTACCACATGTCTGCCAGGGAGTTATGAAATTGAACCATAAAAGGAGATAAATAAGAGGAAAGGGAGTACAAAATTGAGTAAGGGGAGATTTAAACAGTGGTGGGACAGTTAGCACGTAGATTATATGCGTCGGATAAGCTGCAAACCTTGGAGTACCCAACCAATGGGAAAACAAGGGAGGGAACTTGCAGATGGGTATGAAATATAAATCAAAGTTCTGCCTTTGCTGTGTGTGCCTACTTACCAGGACACCCGCTTTTGCAAAAACGTTAAATAAATAGATGCTGCTTCACTGTTTTGTCTATCCTGAGCTTTTACAAGAAAAGTTTTTATCTTACAGGGGTCAGTCTCTCCTCCCAAGTAACAAGGGTAAGAGGTAATGGCCTCAAGCTACGCCAGGGAAGGTTGAGATTGGATATTAGGAAAACTTTCTTCACAGAGATGGTGATGAGGTATTGGAACAGGCTTCCCAGGGAAGTGGTGGAGTCACTGTCCCTGGAACCGTTAAAAAATCATGTAGATGAGGCCCTCAGTGGTGGTCTTGGCAGTCATAAGGTAATGGTTGGATTTGATGTTCTTAAAGGTCTCTTCCAATCTAGTTGGTTCTATGATTCTGAACCCAAAGATGGCAAGATACAAACAAGCAACAATGCAGATAGATGCTCTCTGGGAAAATGCCAAGGCTACATATTTTCTTATTTGTGTGTGTCCCAAAATTATTTGTCACAGTACCTCTCAAAGCCAAGCTTAGCTGTGTTCATCCCCTACAGAAGTGGTTGGTTATCCCTGTATCTAGCCTAGATCCACAAAGGGCAATGAACTGCATGTGTTATTCTCTTTTGTATATTCACAAAAAGTGTTATCTTTACTGATACACTGTTATGACTTATCAGCTTCCAAATACCAAAGATTATGTATCATGGATCAACCAATCTCCTTGGTTGAAAGGAACATTCCTTACACAGTGGATTAATGATTTGTTTATGTTTGAGGATCTGGAGAGTTGTTAACATGCTCTGTTTATTCTCTAGACAAAGATAGTTTGGCTTAGCTCTAACCTGAAGGAAATTAGGATTTATAAAAATCGACTGAGGTGGCCAATACACACCTGAGCTGTGATACACATAGATATCCAGATTAAATGAGGAATTATGAGTAACCCTTACTGGGAGGGTTTAAATGGAAAACCGAAAGAGAAAATTACTACATAAGGAACATTCTGTCCCTACATCCATGCTCTCTTCAATGAGCACAGCATTAAAGGAGAAAGTCGCATCTAAGATGCTGTATAAGCATCTTGACAGCTAGTTAGTTGGATAACACAGAAAACCACTTGGAGCTGGATCTAAAACATGGATAATTATGTGCTTGGTTTTCTTTTATTTCTGTTTATCTGTAGCATCTCTTTTATTATTCTCTGGACTGCAGAAAGAAATTATTCTTGATTTTTATTTCAATGTTTGTCTCTAGAACAAAACATTATTTCCAGGGTGCTGGCTGTCAAATTTAATTCCCACAGCATGTTAATCCTTAAAACTACACTACATAAAAGCTCTCTCACAGACCATAGCACCTTCATACAGGACCAAAAGATAACCAGTATGTGCCCGAACCTAAAAGGCTTGCCCAAATATTTAACAACACTGCTATTCACTGGATCCAGGCATTTTCCAAGTAGCTCAGATTACATGCAGCATCTGACTCCCAAAAGCTTGAAGCACAAGAAAAGGAGCCTGAAGGACACTGACAGAATCTGCTCCCACAACTGTAATTTGGAGAGAGGCAATCCCTACTGCTGGAAACACTCAGAATATTAGTTTGCTGTCTGTAAAATGGGCTCTTGTTTGGGCAGGGCAGAGGAAGTGAAGGTCCTCTGCTCCACCTACATCTAGTGCCTAGTAGAATGGGGCTCTGGGTTCAGCTGGAGACCCTCAAATATATCATACATCAACACAGACACCCAGTCATAATACAGCTGCAGCAATCTCTCTGCCAGCCTGTGCTTTGTGTAAATGACCCATTCCAGAAGAATAGGCTTCCTGGTTTTCTGTGGGTTCCCTCACTACCTGCTTAATCATCAAACCATACAAATTATGGAGTAAGATGAACCTTGGCACCTGGCTCTTAAAGTCATAGGCTATGGTGCTAGTAAAGTGATAAACCTCACTAAGGTAGACCGCATAACTGCACTCTGCTCCCCTTCTAGATACACCTCTTGTCTTGCCTCTTAGTTCTGTTGTGATCTCACTTAAACCTGACAAATATCAACCAAAGAGCAAAAAGCTACCAGGTGCTCTTCCTCTGAACTATTAAGCAACAAAACCCATCAAAACTATCTTCATTTTAGCAAAGAGGAATTTGTTAGTGTAAAGTACCTGGGCAGTGACTGAACCCTGTCACTGTTCTTATGGGGAAAAGCTACTTGCTATTCTTGGTAAAGGGAAGGTCTTTCAAATCAAGATAATGTTTCACTTGTTTTTCAGAAAAGAACTTAATGGGGGTGGGGAGAGAAGCAAGGAAACAAAAATAAATTCTACTTTGCAACAAGTTAAATTACTCAGTTCCCCAAAATGAGGGACTTGGTCAGAAGCATTGGAAAGTTTAAGAAATACTCCTTTAAAAACAACTTCACAGAGCAAAGCTCCCTCTCCATGACTGAAGGGCATGTGAGCAAGCTAGGTCATTCTGTCTAGGCTTGCTTTTTCTTTTTTCCTTTCTTTCGACAATTTAATTGATGGGGTATGTGGTGGTAGGGCCAGGTTGCATTTTTACCACTCCTTACCTTTTTTACAGAGTTGCACTTCTGACCCAAATTTTCCTCTCACTGCAGGAGCAAAGCAGGCACATGCCACCAGCACATCAGTACCATCCTTGTTGGGGGCAAGGTAGAAAAATAAATTCCAGCATCATTTCCATCTATGCTTTCTCTCATCATCCTTGCCTGCCAAAGCAGGAGGAAAAATAATGGCCACATGGGGATACTGTCTCTGCATACTTTAAGATCTTTGTTATCCTCAGGAGTTGCAAAGAAAGCAAGACTGGCTAGGCATTGTGTTAATGATACTGTCAAGAGGCCAAAATAAAGTGCCACACCACAGCCCAGTCTTCTGCTATCAGCACTACTGTCCCACACTCATTTAGGCAATCAGGGTAACAGGCTGAAGAATATGCCAGTGGTCTGGAAAAGATCTCGACACTTGGCTTTTACTGATAAGAACCTGGATCTGCTCAGAGTACGATTCTGCCACATGCTGATGGCTATACAAAGCACAACAATACTGTAGTTTTGCCAGATAACTATTTTGCAACTGTAAAATACACCTACAACAAAAACAGTTTGGTGGGAGGGGCTTCCTTATATTTTTGTATGTGGCTGCTGTCAGCAGACTGAAATCTTGGATGACTTCACTGGAACCCTGTCAAAGACAAGTCCTCAGATGAAAAGCTACTGCTTGTGTTTCCACCACAAGACAAGAAAGGGCAACCATATTCAGCATCTGGCCAAAACTTGTTTTTAGCTGCATCAAAAATGCATACAGATTCCATCCAAAGGTCAATAGCTACAGTTTTTGATGAGGAAAGTGCTGCTTTTGAGACACAATCTTGTCACTGTGATCCACTTCCCCTACTGAGGGCAGTCAATCCATTGTTCTCACTGAAAATGAGAAAGGGCTCAAGACATCTGAAATGAAAACTGCCCTTAAATCAAAATCATCCTAAAGAATAAACAGACTGATGTGTAACAGATTGATGCTACTTGCAGTAAGCAACTCTAAAAGACACCCTTTCTCCCTAGTTTCTCAGAAAAAAACCCACAACAAAACCCCCAAGTGTCTCTAGAGTCCAGAGCATGTGATCGGGCTATAGGCATTCTGTAATGTATTACACTTCATAGTACAAAAACAAAACCATCCTATCTCTATACTGTTTAAATGTGAATTTACTGCCTATCTACTTTTTGAAGCCAATCACATGCTAATAAAGCTGGGCTATGTAGCAAGTTAATTTGTCCACTTCGCATTATAAACAAGTTAAAACTTCATACATGTTCTGATTTAGGTTTCTGAAAGACAAGGACCTTATCCATTCATTCTTACAATGAAGGAATAGGGAATACTAAAAGGTATTCTTACAGGCAGACAAGGAAGACAGTGAAGTTCAGAACTTACTTTCCAGTGCAAAGAATGGAACCACTGATCCCGTAGGTAACTGTTTGCAGCCTGTAACAAACAAAAGTTACAGAACCGTTAAGTTTCTACCAACATTTCAGATCACCCAGCCAAAACTAAGCAAATCACCCATGTGTGCCCTAAAACTAATGAGGCTACACTCACCATATTATTCTGAACTTTATGACCCTGGTTAACTTTACACCCAGCCTCATCTGAATGAAGGAAAATCTTCACTCAAAGCTACAACATCACATAATAACCAGTTTATTCTCACAGAAAGCAGTGACATGAGATCTTGCTGCAAATCAAAGAATCACAGAATAATTAGGGTTGGAAAGAACCTTAAGATAATCCAGTTCCAACCCCCCTGCCATGGGCAGGGACACCTCACACTAAAACATGTCACACAAGGCTCTGTCCAACTTGGCCTTGAACACTGCCAGGGATGAAGCATTCACAACAATCTTGGGCAACCCATTCCAGTGCCTCACCACCCTTACAGTGAAGAACTTCTTCATTATGTCTAATCTAAACTTCCCCTGTTTAAGTTTTAACCCATTACCCCTTGTCCTATCACTACAGTCCCTAATGAAGAGTCCCTTCCCAGAATCCCTATAGGCCCCCTTCAGATACTGGAAGGCTGCTATGAGGTCTCCACGCAGCCTTCTCTTCTCCAGGCTGAACAGCCCCAACTTTCTCAGCCGATCTTCATATGGGAGGTGCTCCAGTCCCCTGATCATCCTCGCTGCCCTCCTCTGGACTTGTTCCAACAGATCCATGTCCTTTTTATGTTGAGGACACTAGAACTGTACAAAATACTCCAAGTGAGATCTCACGAGAGCAGAGTAGAGGGGCAGGATCACCTCCTTTGACCTGCTGGTCACACTCCTTTTGATGCAGCCAAAGAAACGGTTGTCTTTTTGGGCTGGGAGCGCACACTGCCAGCTTATGTTCATTTTCTCATCGACCAACATCCCCAAGTCCTTCTCCATAGGGCTGCTCTGAACCTCTTCTCTGCCCAGCCTGTAGGTGTGCCTGGGATTGCTCCAACCCAGGTATAGGACCTTGAACTTGACATGGTTAAACTTCATAAGGTTGGCATCAGCCCATCTCACAAGTGTGTCAAGGTCCCTCTGGATGGCATTCCTTCCCTCCAGCATATCAGCTGAACCACAGAACTTTGTGTCATCAGCAGACTTGCTGAGGGAGCACTCAACGACACTATCCATGTCACCAACAAAGATGTTGAACAAGACCAGTCCCAACACTGATTCCTGAGGGACACCATTCATTACTGGTCTCCAGACGGACATTGAGCCACTGACCATGACTCTTTGCATGCAGCCATCCATCCAGCTCTTTATCCACCGAGTGGTCCATCTATCAAATTGATATCCCTCCAATTTAGAGACAAGGATGTTATGTGGGATGTTGTCAAACGCTTTGCACAAGTCCAGGTAGATGATGTCAACTGCTCTACCCCTGTCCATCAGTTCCATAGCCCCATGTTCTGGGTTCAGCAGTAGCAGTCATTTTTTCTCCTTCTTAGTAGCTGGTGCAGTGCTGTGGTTTTGCCTTGCAGCCTGGGAACAGCGCTGATAACAGTGATGCTTTTAGTTGCTGGTCAGAATGTTTACTCTGACCAAGGACTTTCTGAGTCTCATGTTCTGCTAGGGAGGAGGGGAAGCTGGGAGGAAGCAGAGACAGGACACCTGACCCAAACTAGCCAAAGAGGCATTCCATACCACAGCATGTCATGCCCAGGATGCAACTGAGAGTTACCCACAAGGGCTAGTTCACTGCTCGGTCTGGCTGGGTATCGGCAGGTGGTATTGTATTCTCTTCCCGTGTTATTTCCCTTATCATTATTATTATTGGTGGTAGCAGTAGTGGTTTGTTTTATACCTTAGTTACTGGAATGTTCTTATCTCAACCCATGAGAGTTACATTCTTTTGATTCTCCTCCCTGTCCCTCTGTGAGTGGTGGGGGGGAAGGAAGGGGGGGGAGTGAGTGAGTGAGACTGCGTGGATGACAGAGTTTAAACCACAACACTCCATCATAGAAGGCCACCAAATTGGTCAGGCATGATTTCCCCTTAGTGAAGCCATGATGGCTGTCACCAACCACCTTGTTGTTTTTCATGTGCCTTAGCATGCCTTCCAGGAGCATCTGCTCCAATATTTTGCCAGGCACAGAGGTGAGACTGACTGGTCTGCAGTTCCCTGGGTCAAATGCAAAACACTGAACCAAAACCTTACAAAACATTAACCTCCTATAAAACAGTGTACGAGACAAAGACTGAAAAGTCCTCCCTAGTTTCAGTCAGGCTTTGGTCAGATCTTTAATGTCTGTAGGACATTTGCCTTTGCTATTAATCATCAGGAGCAGAGTAGGAAGATGGGTTGAAATTTTACGTGCGGGGAAGGCATCCATATTCCAGTTTCTCTTCTTGTACTGATCCTCAGCTTACCCAAAGCAATTCAAACAACATCTTAGCTCTTTCAGTGATATTAAAACAGAGTGAAAAGCGTAACACACACAGACGTGCAACTACATGCACAGACTGCTTGCAGCAATGGCATAAATGCTGCAATAATCACTCCCAGCAATCTCCCGTTTTTCTCTTTATTGAGCAACCCCCCGAAATGCTCAGTGTGAAGCCAGGTTCATAGCCAATGAAGGAATAGTTCAATGCTTCCAAAGGTCAAAAGGCTCAGTATCAAAACATATAAAAGCATCTACAGTGACATAAATATGCACACCTTAACAAGGTGACATACATTTGAAATATTTCATTGCTGCCAATGAGCAATTTTTACTTACAATTCAAAATGCTTTACGCAACCAGTGAAAATTACAGCATAGGCTACAAATCCATGTTAAAAAACAAGCAAAAATAAAAAGTGACGCGCCTCACCAGCTAAATGCCACATACTTCTAGCAAATTAAAGCATCATCCATGACATTTCATTCCCCAACAACTTTTCAGATAATTATTCAAAATCCACACCACAGAATGAATTTCCTGACACTGGTTCAGTTCTCTGATATTGGCAAGAATACTGGAAGTACAAATGATGAATGGTTACCAAAACCATGCTTAATCTCAAGGTCAGATACTGATGTCTCGGTGACATAAATTTGGACTGGTTTCTCTGAGTTAAACGGAATAATGCTCATTTAGATATGTATTACATATTATTTATTTATGAAATAATGAAAATATATTGCTCTTCCAGTAGATCTCTAGGCAGTAAAGCAAAATAAATCTATGATAAATAATATTGGCTGACCACAGAGTTTATCTAAACCAAACTTCCCATTTCATGAAGAACGCTGACATATCAGAATATAAATTTTCTACAAATTGAAACAAAAAGCATAACTCCTTTTTCTTTTTTCTTTTTTTTTAAGATGAGTTGATCCCGGAATTGTGTTCTGAAGGATTTTATAGTCCAATTTTTAGGGTGTAAATGTTCAGTCAGGGAGGAAAAGCCACCTGCGATCAGCTCCAGTACCAAGTTTGCTCATAGGATTAATTTAATCAGCCTCAAACAGACTGCTCAGGGGAGCAAAATTGTGCAAAAGATTAAATGTCTGCATATGCAGAGCTTCGGTCAACATGAAAAAATTTACATCTCTGCTCAAAAAGGCAGCAAACTTTTTAAAAGCTTTTTTTTTTTTTTTATCACAGAAGTAGGAAACTGAACACTCGTTTCATGCCAGCATTACAGGCCCTACAGTGATTTCTACCCAGGCAAGGAGGAGACAAAATAGGAACCTGTGGGCTGCTGAGAAACAGAACAGAAACTCTGCAGGAAATCAAGCAAATGATGGTGAAGAACTCTAGCTAATATACTCATAGCTCCACTGATATCAATTCTTCTACATCAGCAAGCATCAGCAGAAAATTTGTCATTTCTACCACACCACACATGCCATGCTACCAAGTTCATTTAACAGTAAGTTAGCACTACGGCATCCCCTTTTACTGGCATGTGTGTTACTCAGAATACAAAAAGAGGCTTGTCCGTGTAGCAAAAAGTTCCCACTTTTCCTTACAACAACATTCTTCACACATACCCTTCTAAGGGATTTGGCCATGTGAGAAGATGTGGCAATAAATGGGACTTGATGAGATTTTTTTAACTTCCTGGTTTTATTCTATGTTTATCTATCTCCCTCACCTGATTTCTGTTCAGCGGGATAGGGTTTTGATATGCTTTCCTCCAGCTAATATTCATTACTGTGATCCGTAAAATATTGCAGGTTTCTATGCACCAATTTATTATCAGCCAAAGGAACAGCAGAGCAGAACATCTTGGGGCTGCAGGAAGTCAAACCCCCATGGCACACACACTGCTGCTTCATGCAGACTGTAAAAAAAATTCATAATGCTGATGCAAATCCCAGTGTAGCACCTCCACGACACGGGCAGGCCTGCAAGTGAAATCTGCTGCTCTTCTGGCTTAACTCAAGGTAAAGAGAGAGTTGCTGGTAATTGCTAGAAATGCTATTTTCCTCCTAAAAAATATTTCCCGTCTCTGCTGGTGTTGTGGTTTAAGCCCAGCCAGTAACTCAGAACCACACAGCCACTTGCTCAATCACCCCCTTCTTCCTCCCCCCACTACCGGAGGGAACACAGGCCAGACCAGTTTCATGATGAATAAGTCTATTGTATTACAAGTCATTGCTATAAAGTACAGTGAAATAAGAACCTTAGCTCAAGCCTTCCAGCTAATAAACATTAAAACAGCAAATACAGGCTTGTAAGGTGCGACATGGTGAAACTCTGATATCAAGAGCAACAACTTTGAGAGCCAATAAATCAGCATTGTGACAAGTGTCTATTAATCCAAAACAATGAATGCTTATCACAAATATGATTAGACACATTCCAGTCAGATCTGTTGTTATCTCAACCCTTCATGCCCCACACTGGTCACGAAAAAGTACTGTCATGGTTTAAGCCCAGTGGGTAAATCAGAACCATGCAGCTGCTCTCTCACTTCCACCCTTCTTCTTTCCCCCACTCCAGGAGGGATGG